TGAACATGGGCAGCAACGATACTAATGCCGGCTGGTAGGATGATAGTGTTGATTTGGATGCTCGGTATGCTGCCCATGACACGATGGCATCTCTTTTTAGTCCATAGAAATAAATATAAACATGTATACAAGATGTATACATCTATCATTTTATATCATCTACCGTATATCATTTATTTTTGTACTCTAAGGCCTGTTTTTAGGCAATTAAATTTTCAGCCTCGTTTCCATGTTCACGATTTTAGGACATGCGCAGATCTCGAGTCCAGAGCTTAACCTAGCTTGGATCCATATCACAAATTGTTTGTTACATGGTTAGAAGTAATTGTGCAAAGTTTCATGCTTTTATCACAAAAGTGAACAATTCAGCTATTTTTTGGACGATAGCAGCTGTACTGCGTAAATGGGCAGTTCAATTCATTTTTAAACAGTGGACATTTCGTATAAAGACAGTCTATTCCTGGAGTAATAGTCAATAGGCTAGTCCTACACGAGCAATTTACCCATGGACAATTTATTAACGGACAGTTGACAAATTGATACGGAAGAAGTGCCAGGCGATGCACTTTAACAAAGGATATCTGACAAAAATGTATAAGAATTCTCGAATTAAAATGGTGGAGTAGATGGACGTGAAATAGTGCATCGTCGAGCTATAGCCACGCAGTAGTTTTACAGCGAGTGCAAGGTTCATCGTTATTTACGTATATAATTTTTTTCGTAAAGTGTTCCGTTATAGTAACGTTTTCGTTCAGGGGGAACAGGCATACACCCGCGTGCAGGCGAGCTGGCACCTTCCCAGCAAAGCTGCTTGTACTGCACATTGCTCCGTATACAGTCTAGTGTGGTGGTATATGCTGTATCGCCCCCCCCCCGAGTTTGTCCATGACCTATGGCAACATAATTCGAGGTTTCACATGATTGAGTTTTTGCGGATCTATATGTCATTACATGTAAGTGGATCTAGCTATCAATGGTGCATTGGTACATCACCGAGGCTACGCCAGATCCATAGAAACGACATTTCAGACTTCATTCCACCTACTGGATTTTCAATAATTAACTTGCTGGTTCTGTTAGGTGAGTGCTCATCCCCATCATGCTCATCCACATCCAGTTGCAATGCGTTGAAAAAAAGCAAAACTTGGAAAAACCTAGCAGTAATTTTTTCCCTTTCGCACTGTCCGCTAAATGGTTTCGATTGCGTTATTACACATCTCTCTCCCCTCGCCTTCTCTCGCTTCCTCTCCTATCTCCTCGCTCATCGCTCTTGATCATTCGCTCTCGCTCGCTCGCCTCAGTGTTACCTCTATCATTGTCTATGTCCCTGTCACTGTCCGTGCATTTTTCTTCCTCCTCCCTCTCTCTTCCTCTCTATCTAGCTTGCGCTCTCTCTTTTCCCTCCCCCTCCTCCCCACCTTCGCAGCGCTCCCTCACTCGCCTATAACGCCTGCGCCGAGAGGTTTTGTGTTATGAAATTTTCCGTTATTACCGCCGACGACGATGAGACTGTTTGGCAACGCCTTCCGTTTTTGCAATAAATGCAGCCGACAGCTCGCGCGCAAGCTGTTTTTCATGCGGCAGCAGCCGACGTGAAAACGCGGACGTCGCCATCACGAGGCCGTCAGTTGTCGGCGTCACGTAGCCATGAGTTTCCATCGGGAAATTATCGAGATTGTCTAGCGCTGTGATATACACGCTCTCTGTGCGCGCGTTAGCTGCTGCACGGTGGAACATCACGCAGGCAGTAGTCCGTCACCTGCGAGCTCTCAGCACGTTATTATAGCTAGTGCTGGCTTGCGCAAGAGCGTTTCACATTACACGAATCGCTGTGAGATTTCCAACGGAAGGTATCTAGATAAGTGTGATGTACATGGCTATGGGATGGGCACAGAGGGCTTTACGTTGTGGGCTTCACGCCGTCGTTTCCATATAGCTTCGATTTAGAAATATTTCGAATTTCTACATTCGCCTGCATGCCCTCAACGTGTGTCGTCCGCACATAATAAACGTGGGTAATGATGCACTTCATAGCTTACATTCACAGATAACGTGGCAATGTCGTACAGCTGCGTCATCTCTCTACGAATGCGGCATATGCAGCACGAAGTAGGAATGCCTGCAGGAATAATCATGAGCAAAGTCCGCGGAAATTGAGGCTCGTTTCCATAGGATCGTAATGAATGTTGTGAAATAACCACACGAGCCGACCGCAACGGCCAAGCGTAAATCACTCTGTATGATTACTTCGCGACAGAACGAGAGAGGGTCTCTTACAACTTGTAGGAGTGTTTGTAGTCACAACCAGCACCAATGCCAACCACCCCTCCCTACCCCTCTCCTCCCTCACCACCCCACACCCTAACCTCCTCACCTCTCCCACTCCCATCACAATCCCACCCCACCCACCTCTCTCCTCCCTTACAGCCCCGCACGTACCTTCCTGTACCACCCTCTCACGCACGCACGCACGCACACACACGATTGTGATACCGTGTAAGCGATAAGTTGGCAAACGATGCGTCTTCTGATGAACCATTTGCTATGTATGCCATCGATCCCTACTTCAGTGACGATGTTCATACATCAATCTTACATAATCCCTATTCTCCACTCGTGTCGCACTCACTTCATCTCGTAATCACGTTCGACGCATACAATGCGAAAGGGAGAGATAACCAGTAGGGTAAACACTGACAGTCGGGTAGATAGGGAGAGATAACCAGCACGGTAAACACTGACAGTCGGGTAGATAGGGAGAGATATACGTCGCAACCGGAAGCTTGGGTGCATGGTCAGTTAGGACGTATAGCTGGGAAAATAACTGCCTTTATACATTTTAACATCACCTTTTAACATGTTAACCTTTTAACATTTTAACATCCCCGTTATACATGCGGCGATAGGTACCACACAGTGAGGGGGGGGGATAGCAGTAGCCGGTGCGTTGCATCTGATGCGAATGGAAATCAGGTCGCTTCATATAGACTAATGGATATGAAGCCAAGTAATTCTCAGAGGCATATTCACAAAGATGTATGACGATGCATGTCGCGTTCACGTCAACAAAGGTAGCCTGCACTCCCACTGACGCCGATGAAGACGAACGGGGAAGCTAGAGAGCAGAGCGTCACCGGTAAGCCTGGATGCTACATCTTGGCGTCAAACAGCCAAACTTAATTGAACATCAACTGCGGCGGCACGCACGGACAGCGTCAACGTGACGTCAGCATCGCCTGCGCCAGCGTTAACGATGGCTCGTGATGAAGCCCTGTGATGAAGCCCTGTGATGAAGCTGTAGGCAGCAGTAGCAGCGCAGCGTGCGCGCGCGACAGCATGCTACACGCAGCCTTGCCCAATTACGCGTGTAAAACTATACGGCCGCCGCGTAATCACCACGGCATGCGTACGACGAAATGTCGCGCAGCGTACGTGCGAGCTGCCACCGCCACGCAAACCGAGAAACATCACCGAGGAGTGTAGAGATCTGTACTTGAGACATCATTCACGTTCGTTGCCGACTGCGTTTTTTTGGGGGTTTAATTCAGAGCTCCGGCCTTTTTAAAACGAGGTAGACTATACGATACGCGCGAAGAAAGAGCGTATAGCGTTATTAAAAATATATCACATATATAAAAAAAAGTACGCGAAATCGTTAAAATGTGCGCTATTCAAAAGCTTCTCGTCTGCTGTAGCTCACCAGCAGTAATGCACGTACTTGATGGGATTATTTCACTGTGATGTATTTTCCGGGTGATTCACGAGACGCTGTCGCGATTCCGTAACGATGCCAGCAGGTACACGAACGTGTGGCACGCACGCACGCACGCACGCACTCACACACACACGCACGCACGCACGCACGCACGCACGCACGCACGCACCCTCCTCGCAGCTGCCATGCTACGGTTCAGCCTAACCGCAGCGCTTCACGTGCGCGGAATCCTGGATCCTCCTGGATATAGTTGATACTATTACTGCTCACAGCTGCGACGTTTGAGATCTTGCTCTCGCTCGCGCGCGCGCTCTCTCTCTCTCTCTCTCTCTCCCTCTCTCTCTCTCTCTCTCTCTCTCTCTCTCTCTCT